AAGCGCATGATGAGGTCCTGAATGTATAGGGCAATTCCTTTTACATTAATGTAGACTATAATTAATATCAACATCTCTTAGCCTTGAAGTATGGTGCCCAAAACTGGATGCAGTGCTCCAGCTGCGGTCTGACCAATGCCACATAGAGGGGAAGTATCCCCTTCTTGGATCTATTTTCCTTTTTTTCATTCCTATTTGCTTTTCCTTTGCTGATAACGTTGCCAAGCACTTTTTGGGGCCTAAATATCCTTCTTAGTTTTTACATCTACTCCTCTGTTTATCTGTAGTTTGAAGGATGGTTGTTGGAACCTGAAATATTTTGATGAGTTCAGAGCCAGCCTTAGGGAAAATGGTGCCCAGGGCAAATTTCTTTTTTTGGGCTCCCTCCCCTTACAAGTCAGTGAGGATGCTTCAGGCAGAGGCAGAGGCAGGTGGGTAGGGGCCTCATCTGCTCACACGTGCATGCATATTTGGGGCAGGGAGGCCATGGCACCCTGGGCAGTCAGGGGGGGAGCAGAGCACCCTGGGCAGTCACCTGCATTGGCCACCCCTAAGGAAAGCTCTGGGTGAGTTACTGAATGAGACGTAGTCAGATGTTACAGCGATGAGGGCATGATTGTAATATCTAAGCACTCAGAGTCACCAACTATTTCCTCCATAATGCCATATAGTATGACAAGTATACCTTTAATTAAAGACTGCTGAACCTGTCTCATTCTGTGTGTATTACTGTCCCTGACAAGGTGAGGAATATTAGTTACTGAATGGTAAAAGGCTGGAAATCCAATAGATTAATTTTCTTTTCAGTGTTTACAGGTGTTACGAGCAGGGAGGAGGTGATTTGATTTCTTTTCTGCCACATAGAAAGTGGAGCAAAATTAAAGTTGCTGGACCCTGCCTGTTAACACTATGTTTGTATTATGTGCCAGGGTAGACAAATGTCTGTCACCGATTATTTAAATTAGATTTAGATTTAGTTTATCCTGCCATGGGACAAGAAGGTGGACTAACTGACCTCTGCTTTCTCTTTTATGATTTCTTTGATCATAAAATGTCCATTTTGGCTTTATGTCAACCTCTGCTTTAATGGTTAGGAGTGATATGACTTTATATGGCCTCTGGGATACTTATGAAATCCTTTTTAATAACAAAAATGTGATTTACTATATCTAGCAAAGATGTTAATACGAAACTGAAGATAACTTGATTTTATTTTAATGACAGAGTTTGTCTGTGTTGTATCTTAATTCTTAACTAAGCCATTTTCACTTGTAAACCACTGCTCTTGAGAATATATATCACTGCTTAAATGGGCCATTTTAAGCTTTCAGTTTGACAAATGCCTGCAGGGCAGGTAATAACTATAGTTAAAACAGAATATAGTTATAATATGCACTTCAGATGAGTTTTAAAATGAAATGCCATTTCTTGAGTTGAAGAAGTTAAAATCAAAAGGTATCTTGAGTAGGTTATTATCCTTGATAGTTTGTGCTAAGTCCGTAAAGAAAATACCATATTGCTAAGCAGCTGTATATTATACACGGTTTTTTTCTTGTAATTGTTCAATTGTCTTTATGATTTGTGACTAATGGAAAAGGCCGTTAGCATATATTGTCCTTTTGGGAATCAACAACTGCAGTTCAAAGCAATGCCTAACCTAGGGAGAGAAAAACGTTTTACATAAGTGTACCTCTTTCTTTTACTGAGTCATATACTAGATTCTGGACATGATAGGATAGTGTTCTGATCTGTAATGACAAATTTCTCCATGGCCAAAGAAGGACCTTTAATAACCGCAAAAGTCATGGTTCTTCTATGGAAGTGACAGGATGTGTAGTATAGAGCCCAGCTTTGCAGAAGCATCCATCAGAGTGGATCATTCAACCTATTGTACATTAGAGAACAAAGTTTTTTCAGTTGCTGACTTCAAGTAGCCTCTAGAGAGGGGCGTCTTAAAAATTTTGCAGGAAAGATACCTTTCTTCCCACAGCCCCAAAACACCTCTGTCAGCACCTACCTCATCTGCTTAGGCTTTGGTCTAGAATCTAGACTCTAGATAAAGAGTTTATCTAATAGCTGTAATAGAAATGCTTGGTTTCTGTAGGCATGCATGTCACGAAGCCAGACATGAACATGTCACAAAACCAGTTTGTGGTTCACTATCCTTTCCTATTTGTTCTGAAACATAATCTAAGAGGTCAGGTTATTAAATTTAGGTACTGTTGGGACTTTTTTTAGAGGGATACCTGTTAGACCCAAAGGATTGGTTTTGGAAATAGGAAAAAATACAGAAACTAATAATAATGTAAATCTCTGTGCACTGACTGCAACCCACACATGATAGCTGGTTGTGCTTTACATGAAAATATGAAATTTCTGATTACAAACAATGAAGTTAAACTGAACAATTTATGGTTACTGTCTAAAGTAAATGAAATGCAGGAAGGTAGCAAAATAAATGTGCAACAAAAATTATATTCTTAAAGTTTGTTTCATTTTAATAAACTTAAAGATTATTAGAAAGGAAGGGGCTGGTTTCAATTTGAGGCTGTCTCTTTACTTCATATATATTCATGTATTCTAGTCAAATTTTGACCATTCTTTGTATGCACTTTGTATTTTAATGTATTTTTCTGGAACTCTAGGCCATCAGAGCTTAAATTATTGATCTAGCTTAAAATTCTGCAAAATGTCATTATCTGATCTCTGGTCTGTTCCCCATCTGAAAAACAATCATTCTAAGGCAGACATTATATTTTCAACATATTTAACCTGTTAATTATATATTTAATAGTAACCCAGCCACATATTCAGGCAATTAATGGCACCATAAAACATGAAATAAACTACAAAATGATTACTTATGTTTTGTGGAATACATTTTGTAGCTGGTTTACTTCTTGCTTTAAATTGAATATGTGTCAGGGTCCCTGCCATGAAGCCTGGTGCCAGTTGCATGGCAGGGCAAGGCTCTGAAAGCAGTCCCAGGGCAGTGTACTAGACCAGCTGATTGCCTGTCCCAGCCCAGGGACGGCATCACACCTCCAGTGTGGTCCCTAGGCTGAGACCGACAATCAGCTGATTGTCGGTTCCAGTCCTAGGACTACACTGAAGTCTCCAACCAGCCCCAGTGAAGTCCCAGGGCTGGGGTCGATAATCAGTTAATTGTCAGTCCCAGCCCAGGAATTGCACCAGTTCACTAGGCACCTGGCTTTTTACTTGCCAGTGCAGGGAGAGCCTGGGATCATGATCTTGGGCTCCCCCTGCAATGGCAAATTGCTGATTCCAAAATCATGTGTCCTGCCATGTACATATGACATGACAGGATGTGTATGGGGAATAGATCTCATTGCAACATCAAGTAAAAATGTTCCAGGGGCCTAATGTTTCTGGTAGCAAAGAAAAAGTTATGAATGTGAACTGAGGCAGGGTTATCTTTCTACATGGAGGGTCAGAGCATGTCCCAAGATACACCAACACATATTTGGTATAAAATTTATCACAGAACTCAATTAATCAGTAATATCACTGATTCCACTTTACACTAGTGCAACAAAGAAAATTTGGCCTAATATAGGCAGAAAGTGCCTCACTCATTTCTTTGAGTATTTACCTCTGGTGTTCCTAATGACTTCACTCTATATTGTACTATTGGTCACACTAGCAGACTTATAGTGATAAATACAGAATGGGACAAAGAAGGTGTTTTTATCCCCATACATATTAATTATAGAAAAGCACACTGCTACTTTCTTTTTTTTACTGTTGTCTAATACCTGCACTTGTTCTCTGAATTCTGCTTCCTTTGTCCCCAAGGCGTAACAACTAGGGGAAGAGAGGTGGATGAGTTTTGCATCCAGAAGATACCAAAGAGCAGAATTTAGGGTGTCCAAATGGTGGTCTTCCTGCCTCCCTGAAGGAGTGGTTCTGAACACCACAGTTACTTTTATGAATTAAAATATTAGTTACTACCTAATTCAACCCTCCATCGATTTGTAAACCTCTTAGTGGTATACCTTTTGGGACATCTACTCTGTGAAAGCAGGATGTTGGCCTAACTTAGAAAGTCTGGACCAAAGGGGCATTTAACAAAATAACTTAATTCAGTCATTTGCACAAAATGAGCTTGGCACCCTTATTTTGGCTCCTGGAGATTAATGCAGTTCTTTAGGTATTGGGAACAATAAAGACCCATGCATATTTTTATATTGGTTTGACAGCTAAATCTTTTTTTAAAAAGTATATTAATAGTTTCATAGTTGGTAGTGTTGTTTCCCTGTGGGGTCAGGCCAACTCTCAGGATCTCAATATTGTGCTGTTAGACAGGAAGGTGTGACACAATTGCACATATACAAGCATACAAATCAATTAGGTGCATACACACACACAC